GGTAACAAAGGAAGTCTCAATGGACATAAAAAACACATTGAACTGAATGACAGTAAAAATACAACATGTGAACATTTGTGGACCAGAGTTGAAGTAATTCTGAGAGGGAAGTTTATGGCATACCACATGTATATATTAGAAAAGAGGAAAAGTCTCAAATCAGTAATCTAAGTTTATAGTTCAAGAACCTAAAGTAGAAGAGTTGAAAATAGCCAAAGCAAGCAGAAGGGAGGAAGTAATATTAAGGACAAAAGTCAATAAAATTGAAAACAGAAAACAATCCATGAAAAAAATCAGGTTACTTTAAAAGATCAACAAAATGGACAAACCTCTAGTAAGACTAACAGAATGAAAAAGAGGAAGAACCACAAATTGTTGATATCGGTAATGACAAGAGGTTTATCACTACAGACTCTAGACACCAAAAGGATAAAATAGGAATACTACAAACAACTCTACACGCATAAATTCACAACTTAAATGAAATGGACCCATTTCTCAAAAAATACAGCTGCAACTCACCCATAATTAGATAATTTTAATAGTCTTATAACAGTTAAGAGAATTAATCTGTAACTTAACAAACTTTCAAAAAAAAGTAATCTTCAGATGGTTTTACTAGATAATTCTACCAAACATTTAAAGAGGGATTGAAACCAGTCCTAAACAATCTTTCCCAGAAAACCATTCATTTTGTGAAAGTAGTATTACCCAGATACTAAAAGTACAAAAAAAAAAAAAAAAAATGAGACCAATATCCCCCATATATACAGGTACCAAAATATTAGCAAATAGAATTCAGCAATATGTAAAACGACTCATATATACATCATGACTAAAGGGGAGTTTATTTTAAAAGTTTCAAAACTGGTTCAATATATGAAAAATCATCAGTGCAATTTAGCATGTTAACAAGCTAAAGAAGAACCATCACACAGTGCCATCAATTCATGCAAAAAGTGCACTAATAATATTCCACAGCCATTTATGAGGAAAACTCTCAGAAAAAATGGAATAGAAAGCTTTCTCAACTTGACCAGAAATAAGATAAAGGCATGTCTACTCATGATCCTTCTTTAATATAGTACTAGAATTTCTTGCCAGGGCAGAAAGGCAAACATGATCATTAAAAGCATGTAGATTATAAAAAACAAAGTAAAACTGTCCCTGTGTTTCATTTGATATCATTGGTTATGTGGAAAATCTCAAGGAACCTATTAAAAAAATACCAAAACCAATGTGGGGTTAGCAAGGTAGCAGGACATATGATAAAGATACAAAAATCAATTATATTTGCATATATTCATACTAGCCATGGATGGCTGAACACGAAATTTTAAAATGCAGTACAGTCACTCAGAAAATGAGATATCCAGGTATGAATCTAACAAAACATATTAAAGGATATGTGTATGCCTCCAGGAAGACCTAAATAAATAGCTATGTCATGTTCATGGACTGGGACAGTCAACATGGGAAAGATGGCAGTTCTCCTCAAACTGACACACAGGCTTAACACAATGACCATCAAAATCTCAAGATTTTTTTGTAGATAGAGAAGAAAAATTTATATTGAATTTAATTTTCAGCTGAAAAGCAAAGCAATTAGAATAGCTAAAAGAACTTTGAAATAGAAGAATAAAGTAGGAGTAATCTACCCAATTACAAAATTTATTATGTAACTGTTGTAATTAATACTCTGTGATATTTGCAGAGGGATAGACTCTTATATCAATGGAGGAACAAAACAGAGAAGCCAGAAATTGACTCACAACATATCAGACTAATTTTTGATGAAAGTGAAAAAGCAATTCAACATAAAAACATAACCTTTCAACAGTTCATTCTTGGAGTAATTTGGATATTCATAAGCAAAAGAAAAAAAATGAACCTTGACTAAGTCTTATAACTTATACAAAAACTAACTCAAAATAGACCATGGACTTAAATGTAACACTCAAAACTATACTACTTCTAGGGGCAAAAAGAAAATCTTCAGGGTCTAGGGCTAGGCAAAACATTTTTACACTTTATACCAAAAGCTGGAGGAAATTTCATAAACTGGACTTCATCAAAATTGAGAATTTTGCTATTTCAGGCCAGGTACTGTAGCGCACACCTGCAATCCCAGAACGTGGGGAGGTTGAGGCAGGTGGGTCAGTTGAACTCAGGAGTTGGAGACCGGCCTGGTCAACATGGGAAAACTCCTTCTCTACAAATAATACAAAAAAGTAGCCGGACATGGTGGCATGTGACTGTAGTCCCAGCCACTTGGGCGGCTGAGGTGGGAAGATTACCTGAGTCTAGGAGGTTGAGGCAGCAGTGAGCCTTGGTTGCACCACTGCATGCAACCTGGGCAACAGAGTGAGACCCTGTTTAAGATGAAACTGCTGTGTGAAAGATGTTATTGACAGGGTGAACAGACAAGCTACAGATTGAAATAAAAGTGTTTTCAAACTATAAATCTGACATATTCCTAGTGTCAAGAATATAAACTTTCAAAACTCTACAGTAAAAAAAAAAACTCCAATTAGGAAATGGATAGAGTACTAGAATAAACATTTCTTGGGAGAGGATATATGCAGAAAGACTAAAATAAAAAATAGTGACAGTATCAAATGCTGACAAGGATGTGCAGAAACTGGTTCATTCAGACATTCTGGTGGGGATGTAAAATTCTGCAAAATGGTTTGGTAGATTTTGGGGGAAAAAAAAAACAACACCATTTATCTGCCATATATAACCTAGCACTGCATTGCTGGACATTTATCTCAGAGAAAAGAAAACATGTTCACACAAAAACCTGTATACAAATGTTTATGGCAGCTTTATTCATAATAATCTCAAACTTTAAAAAATATTCTGAAAAAAATGGGATACATGCGCAGAACGTGCAGGTTTGTTACATAGGTATACGTGTCCCATGGTGGTTTGCTGCTTGTATTGACCCATCCTCTAAGTTCCCAACCCCCACCCCCCACCAGACCCTGGTGTGTGTTGTTCCCCTCTCTATGTCCATATGTTCTCAATCTTCAACTCCCCATTGTAAGAACATATGGTTTTTGATTTTCTGTTCCCGTGTTTGTTTGCTGAGGATGATGGCTTCCAGTTTCATATGCCCCTGCAAAGGATATGGTCTCATTCCTTTTTATGGCTGTACAGTATTCCATGATGTATATTTACTACATTTTCTTTATCCAGTCGATCACTGATGGGTATTTGGGTTGGTTCCAAGTGTTTGCTATTGTAAATAATGTTGCAGTAAACATTCATGTACATGTATGTGTCTTTATAGTAGAATGATTTATTTTTTTGGGGGGGGTATATACCAGATAATGGGATTGCTGGATCAAATGGTATTTCTGGCTCTAGATCCTCAAGGAATCACCATAACTGTCTTCCAAATGACTGAATTAATTTACATTCCCACCAACAGAGTAAAAGCATTCCTATTTTTCCACAGCCTCGCCAGCATCTGTTGTGTCCTGACTTTTTAATCATCATTCTGACTGTCGTGAACTAATCTCATTTATTGAAACAACTCTGTGTCCTTCAATAAATGATTAAGCAATCCATACTATAGAACTGTATTCAGCAAGAAAAATAAACTATTGATACACATTTGAACCTGGATGAATGTTTAGAAAGTTCTGTTGAGTGTATGATTTCATTTATGTAATACTTTTGAAGTGATGAAATTGTAGAAACTGTAAATAGATCAGTGGTTTCCAGGGGTTAAGGAATGGGTGGGTGAAGTGGAAACAAATGTGGCTATAAAAAGGCAACATGAGGGATTTTTGTGGTGATGGAAATGTTCTGTGTCTTGACTCTGTCAGTGTCAATATCGTGGCTGTGATAATGTAGTATAGTTTTGCAAGCGGTTACCAATGAAGGAAACTGGGTAAAGGTTACACAGGATCTCTCTGTATTGTGGGTGTTTTTGTTTGTTTATGTGGTTTGTTGTTGTTGTTGTTGTTGTTTTGAGATGGAGTCTTGGTCTGTCGCCCAGGCTCGAGTGTGCGATGATGGGATCTCTGGCTCACTGCAACCTCTGCCTCTCGAGTTCCTGCGATTCTCCTGCTTCAGCCTCCCAAGTAGTTGGGATTACAGACATGTGCCACCATGCTTGGCTAATTTTTGTATTTTTGGTAGAGATGGGGTTTCAACATGTTGGCCAAGCTGGTCTCAAACTCCTGACCTATAATCCCAAAGTGCTGGGATTATAGGCGTGAGCCTCCGCGCCCAGCCTATATTGTTTTTTTTTTTTGTAACTACAATTATTTTGAATTAAAATGTTTAATTCAAAACACATAAAATTTCCTCTAAAGGCTTTTAGATTGAAATATGAAAGCGTCTTTTGGCACTTTCCGTGGGAAGGCTTCATTTCCCCGCTTTCTGCTCTCAGGTAATCATATGGCAGCCACAGAAGCTTTTTTGCTGTTCCTGGACATGCTTCGCGAGCTCTCCCCACAGGGCCTTTGTACTTGCTACTTCCTCGTCTGGAACATGCCTTCCTCTGGCTCGCTCATTCGTTTCATCTTGATCTCTGCTCAAATGTCACCTTATCGGAAAGCTTTTTCCTTGAACAGTCTGTCTGCAGTATTCTTGTCACAGTTGATTCCCTGACCTGGGTTTATTTTTCTTCCTTCATCAGAAACAGATTTGATGCTTTAAAAAATTCCAAGTCTTGGATAGAAACCTCAAAATTCCCTACTATGTGTCCTCTTTTCTATATGTTGTTCTGGGATTTGGAGTGTTTTATTTCAAAAGTAAATGAAATATTTACACTCTATTTTCATTTTTTCTGCTGATCACTCCATACCTGTCTGGTTGGAATTTGAACATTGTAAGTCTTCTTCAGTAGTAAATATACTATGTTCTGTTATTCTCAGCTTATTGCAATCCAGTGGTATTTCTCAAAACAGCTAAGACTTCAGTCAGCCCCACCTCCACACACCATGAATCTACCTCTAAATGACTGGGCTTTAATTCTCTTCTAGGCTTTTTAACTGGTCCGAGGTGTAGAGACACACTTCAGGAGGATCCTCAAAAGTCTTGGACAAGCCTCCCCAAATGCGGCAGGTAGGTCTCTTGTCTGTGGGTGCGAGAAATGTAACTTTCTTTATTCTTCCATAGTTGAAATTAAATGTCATTCGGACTCTCTGCTTAACCATGATAGCAGCCTGAGGTTGCCCTGACATTCTGGATTAGGTTATGAGATGCCAGGTTCTTGAGAAGTGGATTCCAGTTCCTTAGCTGTCATCTCTCCATTAGTCATGTTTATCTTACCATCTCTGGTCAGTACTTGTGGACTACTGCCAAGGCACACCTCGGTCTATTTTCGAGGGTCTCCTGTTCTCCTTCTCTTAGTTTCTTCTAGATACCTCTTGGGCATATAAGGGCATGCTATCACTGCTGCTGGGCCAGGGGAAACTCTTTGGGATTAAAAAGCTCCCCGACTCCCCCTCCTTTTTTTTTTTTTGACACAGAGTCTCACTCTGTTGCCCAGGCTGGAGTGCAGTGGCACGATCTCAGCTCACTGCAACCTCTGCCTCCCAGGTTCAAGCGATTCTCCTGCCACAGCCTCCCAAGTAGCTAGGATTACAGGCATTTGCCACCATGCCTGGCTAATTTTTGTATTTTTAGTAGAGACGGGATTTCACCATGTTGGCCAGGCTGCTCTTGAATTCCTGACCTCAGGTGATCCACCTGCCTCAGCCTCTCAGAGTGCTGGGATAACAGGCATGAGCCACTGTGCCCGATTTTTTTTTTTTTTTTTTTTGCATTGCCACTCTTGTTCGGTGGCTTCTGTGTCGTGTTATGGCATGAGATTCTTTGCAAGGCTGCTCAAGTCCGTCTTTCTGGATGTACCACCAAACTGTTTCTGAAGTTCAGACTACACCCAGGAAAGAAAATCTTTTGCCCATCACCCATGTCTTCCCCGAATACATTTGGGGTTTCTTTTCTTAATTGTATTTTGAACAAGCACCTCTTGGGAAATCAATCAAAACAAGTTATTTTTCATCTCCTTCTGCTTCTTTGAAATGCATTGGAGAAAGGTGGCAGGTATTCCCTTGTTTTCGGGTGAAATTTAGGTCTCAGGCGGGCGCCATACTTTAGAAGTTTACGCTTAGATTTTTTTAAAAAATTGCTCTGGACATTGTAACTTAAAAAAATAATCTCCATTGAGAAATGATTATGTCCAATATCGAACCATAATCATAGCTTCAAAGTTAAGTTAATATCAAATGATCTGCCCTCCCCCATCTGGGGCCCATTTTTGAGTTGGACATTTGCAGTGGGAAAAGGTCATTTTTTTCTCTCTCTTCACTCATCATCTCCTATCCCACATCCTAGTTGCAATTGCTGAACTCTCAGGGGTTGGACAGGGGAAAGAAGAGGGGAAAAATAGCTCAGGGATTTCATTACGTTAAGCTGGCTTTGTGTTTTCTGGGACAGGAATCTGCTCAACACTGGCTCTCAGTTGGTCACTTTTGGGAGACTTTCATGGCCGCTCTGATGGACCCACCCAGCTTTAGTTCTTGTGACTTGGGCAGGGCTTCTCCTTCAGCGCCCTCCTCCCAACTCAGTGCCTGGTTCCAGGTAGTCTGTTTCCTCTGAACTCTGATGTGGTGTTTCATGAATACTTCCAGTGGTCCTCTTGGGCTTTAAGTGGACTCTCTCACAACTGGCCCATACTCACTCTAGGAAAACATGCCTCTTATGAAGCCTCATGGGTGGGAGAGGCTGTGGGTACTTCTCAGATAGCAGAGTGGCCCCTAGCCCAGCTCTCTTAACCTCTGGATGTTCAGGGTGGGAGCCAGCCTGCAGTCCATTGGGTCTCCCAGACTCCAGGGTATACATCCAGGCTATCTGAAGCTTTCCTCTGAAGCCTCTCTGAAGACCTGTGGAAAAGAAAGACCCCTTTCTATCCCTCTCTCAGGGAAAGGAGGGACTTGGCATAGGAAACAGCTCTATCCAATAATCTCTTAAAGCCTCTTCCCCTCATCTTCCTTCTGTTGATGCGTTATAACTTCCTATTGTGTTTTAGAGCCATTCATAGTTCCTAGTTTCTTTTAAAATCTGAATTTTGAGCTGGCCATTTTCATTGAAATTTCATACCTGTTTCAGGAAGGTACCTCAGTTAAATCTTCCAATCTGTCACTCTGCTCTCACTAAGGAGAGTCGAGGCAGTGGGACATGGGATCAGGGTGGCCAGGGAACATGGTGAAACCAGCTACTTACATCTTGCTCCTGGATCCACTGATGTACACACATGACTTGATGACCTTATTTTGCACTCAGAGGGGTGTACATCCACCCTTAGCCTAGTTTATATGTAGGAAGGTCTCTTCTGTTCCTATTTTCTATGGGTGGGAATCACTGCAATTTCCCATGGGCATTAGGCTTTCAAACCTCTCAACATATTGATTGACACCTCCCAGTGCCCTGTGTTCCCTGCCTTAACAGCAGTTTTCTAACGCCATGAGTGAAGAGTTCAGCCACTTGGCTCACGGACTGGGGAAAGAAGCAAGATGCAAGGAAATGAGATAAAATACTTAAAATAGTCTACCCCTCCATGATAAAATATATTGCCTGCCTTCTTTCTGGTACTTACCATATGATTTTTAATCCTTATAATGGCACTGCACAATTTATATTAAGGATTTGACATTTGAGGAAACCAGATGTGTTAGTTTGCTAGGACTTCGATAGCAAAGTACCACAAATAGGGTGACAAACAACAAAAATTGATTGTCCCCCAGTTCCAGAGGATTGAAGTCAGAAATCAAGCCTGACAGTGGGTTAGGTACCTTCTCACTCAGTGCCTGGTTCCAGGTAGTCTGTTTCCTCTGAACTCAGATGTGGTGTCTCATGAATACCTCCGGTGTTTTGGGCCCCTCTTTTTGGCTTGTAGATGGCTGTCTTCTTTCTGTAGCTCTTTATATTATTTTCCCCTATGCACATTTCTCTCTATGTCCAAATTTCCCCTTTTTATAAGGACACCAGTTATATTGGATTAGGGCCCACAGAATGACCTCATCTTAACTAATTACATCCGCAAAGACCATATTTCCAAATAAGGTCACATTCTGAGATCCTGGCGTCAGGGCTTCAATATGAATTTGAGGGGGAGGGGCAATGCAACCCATAACACCAGGGTTCAAAGAAGCTCAATTGCTTCAAAGTCACACAGACCTTGAAGTGCCTGTGCTGCAGTTCCTCTCCACGACTGTGGACTCCATAGCTCTCATTCTTTCTGCTATACTACACTTCATCTCAGCTCTTACATGCAGATTATGCCACAAGAAGGATGCTGGTTTTCCTTTAAACAATCAAACCAGGCTAGCAGAAGCGCGGACCCATCCAGGAAAAAGCTCTTACACCTCAGGTGGTGCCATCACATGAACTCAGAACAGCAAACCTTGCGCAAAGCAGAAAAAGGAACCTGTCTGTAGAGAGGGCCAATCTAACACCATCCTACCATTGGCTAGAAAAATGAGCTGCTGCCTAAATTCAACATATTATGCTAGGGTCCAAATGTTTCTGAAGCTACTAAAATAGTTTCAACTTGAGTTTGATGGTATTATTCCTATGACTTGTTTGCATTTTTGGGGGCTTTTGACCTACATACCTATATAAATATGTGTGTGTGTATGTGTGTGTGTGTGTGGCTGGCTTCATGTAGGGCATATTTAAACAATGTGTAATAAAGACGCTTTTTTTTTTTTTTTTTTTTGAGATGGAGTCTCACTCTGTCGCCCAGGCTGGAGTGCAGTGGGGTGATCTTGGCTCACTGCAACCTCTGTCTCCTGGGTTCAAGCAATTCTCCTATCTCAGCCTCCCGAGTAGCCATGGTTACAGGCACTTGCCACCATGCCCAGCTAATTTTTGCATTTTTAGTATAGATGGGGTTTCACGATGTCAGCCAGGCTGGTTTCAAACTCCTGACCTCAGGTGATCTGCTCACCTCGGCCTCACAAAGTGCTGGGATTACAGGCGTGAGCCACTGTACCTGGCCAAAACAACATATTTAAATCATGCGAAAGGAAAAGGGTAAACTGTTAGCTATAAAGTTACCGCAGGCATATACTAGATAATGATAATGATAGCTTAGCTAAAAAAAAATAAAATATGTTCAAATTTCAATGGGGATTATATTTAGGAGAATTATCAGATTGTTTTGATAGTTTTCCTTTTAAAAACAGTTCTTTAGTGCCTCCTAGGTGGGAGATAGGAATTATTATAGTGATTTGGAAACATGACTTTATGCATATGAACATAATTTGAGTCTTGTCGTATTTGTCACTATTTTATTCCAGATGGCACAAGTCTCTTATTATTCCTTTCAGTTAAGACCTGAAGTATATACCTACAGAAATAAGTCCATGATAAGATTTTTCTTGCCAAAATTCTAATAGGTGCTTACTTACTGAGAAATATGTGTATTGAGAAATGTTTAAGAAAAATAGACTTTAATGAAGCCGCACTAATGATATTTATTTAGCTAATCGTGTACAGGGATCTAACCATGATTTTAAGTAAAGTAGACTGTTGGCCATGTAAATAAGCTTGGCACAGGTGTGCAGGGTTTTAAGAGAATTGGGTAGGAGAGCTAATGAAAATTAGAGTCGAGCTCAAAGAAATATTTTATTGTAAATTCAATTTCCCATTGTAAAACAAATACAGCTGCACACAAATACTTTGAAATATGAGTAAAAAAATGCTCACAGTGTAAGAAATGAAAGCAACAAAACTAGCCTTTTGGTATGTTTGCTTCTCCTCCTTTCTTTTTGTTATACATTCATCTGAGCATGACTGAACACCTACTCAGTGCAGGCGCTTAGGCAATTAAGATGACTAAGATAAGGTTTCTTTCCTTAAGGAGCTGTTGATTTATCAGGGGAAACAAACAGTGACTGAGTCTTTATAATAGGGAATAAGTGCAATACTTAGGGAGAGTGGCCGAAAAGGTTGCTATCAACTCTGTTGTCAGGTCTGGGAAAGCGTCACAAGGTAAGTTAAAATAGAAAGTTGCGCAGAAATGCGTTAGCCAGAAAAGAGGAGGAAATTCATTTCAG